GGGGGGGGTAGTAGGGTAGTACGGCACGTTTAAACGGAAAATTAATTTCGTTGTTTTCTCCCACTCCAGGTAAAAACGACGGAGTGATTCAAGGCGTCCGATATTTTACCTGCAAACCCAAACACGGTATATTCGTTCGAGCGGATAAATTGATATTGGATAAAAGAGGTCGTGCTATGAGACAGTATAAAAACATGGATCAAACGGAACATTCCATGAGAAGAAGCACGAGCAGGGGTAAAATACGATGACAATAGAATAAAAATAATAATAATAATAATGACAATAATAACAATAACAATGATGATAATTATTATTATTATTATTATTATTATTATTAAAGGTTTCGCTTTTTTTTTTTTAGGGGAAGGACTTTCTACGCTTCACAGATCTCGAAGTAGAGGAGACGGTATGAGTTCGGTCGGTAAATCGCCCAAATCTAAATGAAAATAAATAAGTTGATGATGACAACACTAATAATAATAATAATAATAATAATAATGATGATGATGATAACAAGCGAATAAAAATGAAATCGTAACGGAAATCGCGCGTGCGTGCATTCAATAAGAAAAAAAAAAAAAAAAAAAAACAATTTAAATCATTAACTTTAAAAAAGGTTACGAAAAACAAAAAAAAAAAAAAGGTTAAAAGGTTACTGTTTCCGGAAGAATGAAAAAGGAAAGAAAAAGGAAGGAAGAAAGGAAGGAAGTAAGGAAAGATGGAAGGTTGGATGGAAGGAAGGATTAAAGGAAGGAAGGAAGGAAAAATGTCGATTCCAGAATCAGAGTTAGTATCATTCCAGCTTTTAACTAACATCATTTTTCATCTCCTCTCACGATAATAATAATAATAATAATAATAATGATAATGATAATAATTAATAATAATAATATTAAAAAAAAGAAAATTTTACTCCCTCGCCATTTTTTTTTTTTTTTTTAAATTAACGAACATTACCGTATACGCTTTATTATTATTATTATTATTATTATTATTATTATTATTATTATTATTATTATTTTTGAAATTTAGAAATTTTTAGTAAGAAAAAAAAAGACAAAATCTATTATTATTATTATTATTGCGACCATGATTTATTTAGCTGTAAATTCGTTGCCAACTTTAACAAACAAAAAAAAAACAAAAAAAATAATGATAATAATAATAATGAATCGGATTTAAATAAGCGGGCCATTTTCTATCTCTATCTCTCTCATTGGAGTGCACTAAAAACGTTTACGACGTTGACGTTTTTTTTTTTTTTTGGGGGGGGTGGGGGGGGGGGTGCGGTCTTTGCGGTTACCTTTGTAAATAATAATAATAATGATGATGATGATAAGTTATATATATTTGCATACATACAAATCCGTTCGAGAAAACTTTTGTGCCCCATTTAAAAAAAAAAAAAAAAAAAAAAAAAAGATGACGTCCGTCAATTAATCAAAAAAAGCGAAAAAAAAAACGTCACTACAACGATAAATGCCAAATCGGCCATTTTTATTTTTCGAGATAATTTATTATTATTATTATTATTATTATTATTCGTTCGTTCGTTTTAACGTCGTCGTCGTCGTCGTCGTCGTCATCGTCGAAAATGTCGCCGAAACACAAAAAAAAGATGATAATAATAATGATAATAAATTTCAATATGTCCCCCCGAAAAGGAGGAAAAACGATGTATACAAATATTTATTATTCAATTTTTTTTAAACGATGACGTCCGACATTTTATTACTCGTATAAAATTTAAAATTAGGTACCCGTTAGAGTCAAACCTAACCAAGAAAAAAAAAAAAAAAGAAATTTAAATAATGATGATAATAATGATGAAACCGCCCTTTAAATCTTATATTCTCTTATTTGATGATTTATAATTAACGGTTATGATGATAATACTATTATTATTATTATTATTATTATTACTATTATTATTATTATTATTAGATTTTTAGACGTTGAATTTTAACATTCGTGATTTTATTATGATTACATAAGCACACACACGCACTCGCACTCACACACTTGTGTAGGTACATAAAATTTTATCTTTATTATTATTATTATTATTTTTTGTATTTATTTATTTGTTTTTATCAAATCTGTTGTCCCTCCTCTCATCCCACCCCACCTCTTCCCTCCCCCGTTAATAAATTAATAAACGTATACTTATACATAAGCACATGTAAATTAATAATTTTATGTAGTCAGATTTAATTGAAATCTGTTATTAAAAGTCTTCCATATTGAATCCCAAAGCAATCGATCACTCCCCGCCTCCCGCCCCCACGCCCCTCCTTTTGTTTTTACTCATTCGGAGAAAATAATAATAATAATAATCGTTTTTACTTTTAACCGGAAATGTCCAAAAAAAAAAAAAAAACTTTTATTTAAATCATCATCATCATCATCATCACCGTCATTATTATTATTATTATTTAGTATCTCACATTTGATGTTACGTTTTAAATTTTCTATCTCTTTCCCACACATGCACATGCACATGCACATTTTCTCTCTCTCTCTCTCTGTTTCCCTTTTTTTGTAGAAAAATTAATAATTATTAATAATATTATTATGGAACATTACTTAAAAATTTTTTAAGGCCGTTAAATCATTTATTATTATTATTATTACGTATTATTATGTATTATGTATTATTAACCATTATTGACCGTTAGGTGCCTCCTCCTCATGCCCTCCTTTAAATAAATAAATAAATAAAAACCGAATCGTTTCTGTCCATTTTTTGAAAAGCCAAAAAAAAAATAAATAAATAAATTTATATATATAACGAAATCCATCCTTATTAAAAAATAAATAAATAAATAAATAAAATTTTATGTACGTTAAATAATAAAAAAATAAATTATTATTATTATTATTATTATTATTAAAAAAAATTCACATTATTTTTTTACAATCGAAACTTTCGTGTCAAATAAAAGTTAAAAAAAAAATAATAATAATAAAAATTTTTATTTTTTAATAATTATAATCAATCGATCGATCGATCGATCGATGTATTGATTGATCGATGTATCGATCGATTTTATCGCTTTCTTTTTTTTTCTTCATTTTTTTTTTTGTCTAATGGCTGATTTGTTTGTAAATTAATGTACAGAGAAAACTTTAAAAAAAAAATAATAATATTGATGATGATAATAATGATGATGATGATGATGATGATAATGGTGACGATGATGATAATGATAATGATAATAATAATAATAATAATGAAACATTTCTTTTCATCGATGCTCTAATCCCTTTGATTTAAAAAATAATCGTTTCGTATGTAATATTAATATTATTATTATTAATTAATTAATTAATTAATTAGAATTATTATCATCACCATCGTCTTTATAATTATATCACTTATTAAATGTTTACGAGTAATAATAATAATAATAATTATTAAAAATGGAGGGAAAAAAAATTTTATTTTTATTAAAAAAAAAAAAAAAAAAAACTATAAATAAAAAATTTTAAAAAATGCAATAATGATAATAATAATAATAATAATAATTGTAATTGTTGTTATTAATATTATTATTATGTACCATGTATAAATAATGATGATGATGATGATGATAATAACAACAACAAAACTTGAAAATTAGTCCCTAGCTTTTATTATAAATATATATAAATAAATAAATAAATAAATAAAAAATATACATATATACATAAATATATAAATAAATAAATAAATGATTTTTTTTTTTTTGATGAAATTTATTATTATTATTATCATTATTATCAATCATTATTTGATTTATTATTATTATTATTATTATTGTTTCTCTCATTTGATTTGTACTTACCTGTTTTTCTTTTATTTTATTATTATTTTTTTTTTTTTAAATAAATTTGTCTTCAATATAAATGTTTCGACATAAATTATAATCATTATTATTATTATTATTATCATTATTATTAATTATAAAATGAGGTGATTTTTCTTGATTTTAATTGGCTGTCGTGAGATTTGCAACGTGTCACGTGACGACGGCGCTGAGCGACGTACTTGGGAGAAGAACGCTTTAGTTGTCACGTGACGTTTGAAAATGTAACCTTTCTCCTGTGAAGTTTTTTTCCCCGTTTCGTTTTTTTTTGGTTTAATTTTTAAAAATTGCAAAAAAAAAAAAAAAGAACAGCAAGGTTTTTTCACGTAAATGTAAGTTAAAAACTTTGTTAATCATTTCATTTTGGAGAGAAAGGGGAGGGGAGGAAGGGGGGAAAGAAAAAAATAGAAACAAAAAGAATAAAAATTTTTCGCATTCGAATTTTAAAAAAAAACCGTTAATTTTTTTTTTCTTCATAAATTTTTTTTTGGAGTTTTCGGATGGTTTAACGTAAAAACGTACCTGAATTTTTTTTTTTAACAAAAAAAAAGAAAAGAAATGGAAATTGTAAGAGATAATTATAAAAAGGAAAAGAAAAAATGCGTTTTTTCTTTTTTTTTGTAGGTAGTTTTTATTTAAATTACATTAAAAACGGTTCGTTGAATTTGAATTAAAGAAAAAAAATTTTTTCTTCTCATTTTCTTTTGGTCATTTGCCTTTTTAAATTTTTGATTTTTTTTTTCACCCTTGGCGATAAAAAGGATTCGGTCAAGGCTTTGAAATGTAAAAAATTTTCTATTTTTAAATAAGGTTTTTTTCCCCAGGTATTCGCGGTAGAAAAAAGTAAAAAAAAATCTTTTTTTTTTTTAACATTTTATTTTTATATTTTTTGCGCGTTTGTCTTAATTATAATAATTTAATTTTATCGGTAATGTTCGTTAATTCCGTTAGATTTTTTATCGTTTTTTTTTCTGACATTTTTTAAATATTTGCAAATTGTCAATCATAAAAAAAAAAAAATTCCGAGAAAAAAGTCGTTAATAGTGTTTAAATATTTACTATGTTAATTTTTTTTTTTTTTAACGAATACGTTTTCCAAAAAATTTAAAAATTAATAATAATTTTTAAAAGAGGAAAAAAAACGACTTTTGAGAATTTTTTTTTTTTTTTTTTTTATACGTTAAAAAAGGAACGAGACAACAATTAAAAGTCACGTGTAACAAAATCCTGTTTTCTGATTGGTTAAACAAACGGACCAATCAGAGTGAGTTAGCCGGTCAAAACAAGTAACGGTCGAATCGCTTTGCCGTCTTGATTTATAAGCCGGTCGAATTATTATTCATTAAAATGTGTCGAAACGAACATGTGTGAAATTATCGGGTTTTTATTTATATTTTTGTGATGTTTTAATGTGATATATTTAATTTCGCGTAAGTATTTAAATTAAATTAAAACGGGAAATTTTCAATAGAAAACGCGAATGCGGAATACGTTTGAATATAGCGGAGGCTTTGATATCAGTTTATAGTTTAGGCAGATATTTGCAGGTTAGGGTCACAGGGAAAGAAGAAAAAAAAAAACGATTTGATATTAAATGAAGTATTTGTTTGTGTGTAAAAATGTCCGTGTTTAAAAATAACGGTTTAGAATTGTGCAGGAGTTTTTTTTTGGAAAGCAAAAAAATAGATTTTTTATTGCTTCTCGGAGAAAGAACCGGGCATTTGCCCATCGTATCGAAAATTCTTAGCTATTTATCCGATTCGGATTTGCAAAACGTTGCAAAAGTATCGAAAACATGGCAAAAATTATGCTTGTCGGATAGAGTTATTGCACACAAGATAAAGCAATTTGTTGCGAAGAGAAAAATGCTAAAGGAAAATTCATGGGTGAGTGTTGCTTATTTGCGTCGTAAATTCTGGCGGGCTTTTGGCCTGTTTTTTTGCCATTAATGTATTCGTTAACCTATACGTCACATACACATGTGATTATCATCGTTTATCCGTTTTTTTAGGTTATAAATCCCATGCAAAGAAGTAATGAATCCACGCCGAAGAAAAAAAGGAAACCTTTAGGTTGTTGGAATGAAAATTATAATTTTACTAAAATAAAAGAAACTCCGAGATCGCCTCCAATCAGTCCGAGACAAAAAAAATTTAATAAATATTTAAAAGTAAGTTTGAATACATTTATTATTTCACACTCCTTTTTTACTAAGGCTTGGCTTTTTTTATGGCGGAAATTGTGTGTGGTCAAATATTTGTAAACTCTGTTGAGTTTCTGCATATTTTGAAATTGATCTCACAAATAATACTGAAAATTTTTTTAAAGTAAAATCCTTAACAAAACTTATTCCATATTTTACTTGATGTAATCAATGTGTTAAAAGCATTACGAATTGGAGTACATTTTGTTTTTCATAATTTGCTTTTAAGAGAGAAAAACAAACATTTGAAGCTTGAATATTACAATTTTATTATAATTTGTTTGCAGGAAGGTATGAAATTAGGAAGGAGTGGAAAGTTGACTCCGTGTCCAAGATGTTCGCTGCCTTCAAATGTTAACGATGATGAAAACAGTGGTCACTGCACTCAACCATTTTGTTCATTTCATTTTTGCCTTCAATGCCAATGTGCTTACCACTATGGTACAACGTGTAAATATTTCATAACTTCATCTCCTTCGTCTAGTCCGAGTAAAACAGTCAGGTACAAAGTAGGATCAAGACAAAGCAGAAAAGCACTGAGAAGGTTATAGCATTCGATGGCTATGTGTATTTATTTAGAATTTTTGCGTGTATATTTTATATATTTGAAAAAAGACTTTTAGACAGGTTTTATCGTTCACCTTACCACAGTCATGCTGCCTCAATCGACTTCTCCATCGATATTCAAATGTTTTTTTATATTTATATAAATATTTATTTTTTATTATGGAGAAGTGAAATTCGATGAAGTTTTTAAATAATATGAAGTGTTGATCTTTTACCACGTACAAATGGAAAACGTTCAAATTTTTCTATGTATATATATATGTGTGTGTATAATTTTCAGGTGAACGCATCCACTGAAAGTTCCTAAACCAAAATTTTATTATTATCATTCTTCCTCTTTATGTTTTTAGTCTATCTGTTTCTCTCCATCTCTTTCTAACTTTTAATTTCCTTACATTTCTTTCTTTATTTATTTTATGTACATAAATCACGTCATACGTCTTACGATTCTTTCAATTTTTTTATTTATCTTTACATTCCTCGTTTCTTTTACTCTAAAAAAAAAAAAAAAAAAAATTATGTAAAAATAATAATAATAATAATACATGATGCATTTCAATAGTGAAAAAATGCGATTGAATTATTATTATTATTACTATTATTATTATCCTTATGATTACGAATTATTAAAAAGAAGTAGAAGAAGAAGAAGAAGAAAAAGAGAAGAAAAGTTTAAAAAATGTTAAAAATGTAGTAAAAAAAATTTTTTTGTTCCTAATGTTTTTATGTGTAAATATTTTAATTTTAATTTTTAAAATGAAAAAAAAAAATATGTAAATTTAAAATTATGTAAAATAAAATACAATTTTATGTATTTAATTAATATCGTCTTATGGAAAAAGATTTTTATTTTAACTTCCGGTTTATCAATTAAAAATTATTAAATTAATAATTGTAATTAAATAATTAATTATTATTTATTTATTTTAGAATTGTGTACGTTTGAAAATTTGCCAGGATTTGGAAATATTCAAGTTTGAAATGATTACTACTAATAATTCATAAAATGGAAAAAATTTGTTCCAGTAAAGGGGGAAAAACAAAATGGAAGAAAATGTCAAAAGGAAACGATTCTCGTAAGTTTTTTTTTTTATAATTTATTTATATATTTTTGTTTTTATGTTGTGACGTCATTACATTTTCAACGTCATTTGTAATGACGTAGTTTTGTCGGTTTGACAATATGAAAATTTTAATTTAGTTATATATATATATATATATTAATTCAATTTAAACGTCATCGTGTCAATAGAAAGGAATCGAATTTTTTTCTCCCCATTCTCCAATGAATTGAAATAATAATTTTAAACGAGTGAAATTTATTTATTTATTTTATATAAACATTATTTTTTATTAATTCATTAACCATAATGATTTAAGTAGTTTAAAAAAAAAAAAAAAAAAAACTCGTTGAGAAAAACATAAACACAAACAAATTGATCATTATCTTTAATATTTTTTAAATGATTACATCTTGATACTTGCTTACTCCGTTTCTTGTTACACTTTCTGCAATAAAAATATTATTAAAAAAAAAAAAAACAAATTAACAAGGCAAACGATAATTATATTGAAAAAATAACGAGTAAATAACGTTTTGACATATTTAAATAAATAATTTTCTCTCTCTCTCTCTCTCTTTCTCTCTCTCTCTTTCTATCTCTCTTTAAAAACTTTTACTCGTTAAAATAAAATATATATATATATATATAAAATTTTCAAAGTGTCAATAGAATAAAAAAAAAGTAAAAAAATTTGATTCGTTTGTAATTGACATTTATAAAAATAATTATTTTTTCTCTCTCTGACGTCATTATCAGGTGACCACATTTTTTTGTCTATTCGTTTAACACGTGAGAAATTTTCGCGCCAAAAAATTTAAAAAAAAAAAAATTAATGAATGGGGGGCGAGTAATTATTATTACCCGACAACGTGGGAATAAAAAAAAATTGTTTTGCATCGTTGCCAAATTAAATAATAATAATAATAATAGTTGGGAACGGACGATCGACTGAAAATGATCGAATATCGTCTGCTTTTATCTAAAATAATAAATAAGGAAACGTTATTATGGTTTTTCGTAGTTTTGGTTTCGTTTTTTTATTTATACACATTGTTTTTAATGTATTACGCGAATAAATTAAAACAAGAAACCGGACACTGTCACGTCAGAGATTTAGGAAGAAACATGTTTTAATTAATTAATTAATTTTTATTAAATTAAAAGTTTTGTGACGCGACCCAATAAATAAATAATAATAATAATATTTCGAAAAAATCAATCATGTTCCGCCATCTTTTTTTTTTTTTTGTGGTTGAATAATAAAAACGTTTAAATTTTATTTATTTATTTATTTATTATTTTTTTTTAATTTATGTAGTTAATAATAGTTATGTCCGACATTTTTATTATTTAAATATTTTGATTAATTTTTATTTAAAAAAAAAAAAACATGGCGGATTGAATCGAACCGATTTAAATTTTCAACGTTTTTTTTTTTTTTAATTGTATGAAAAGGCACTTAGGTACGAAAGGTCACGTGGGGTTAAACCTATTCAACCCGTTGAATTATTAAAAAAAAATTTAAAAATTTTTTCCTTTGAATTTTTGTTGTTGTTGTTGTTGATTTTCATTCGTGGGAGTAACGGAAATTATAAAAAAAAAAAAAATTTTTTTATTACTCTTTATTACCACCCACAATCACGAAAATTAATTATTTAATTAATTAGGGTAATTAATAATTGTTTCATTACGCGAAAAGAATAATAAAAATCTTTTTTTTTTTATTTGCAAATAATTAATTAAAATTTACAGGGAAACAAAGGAAATTTTTTTTTTTATTTTCCATTGATTTCTATAAAAGTATATTACGATGACGATAACGAGGACAAAAAAAAAGTCGGAGAAAGATAAATAAAAAAAAAAAAAAATGGTAAAAGTAAAAAAAAAAAATATATATATATATATTTAAAGAGAAAAGGAATATTATTTACTTTAACGGAAGTCTCTTACAATATTCTGTTTACTCTATGATCCGATAAAGCTTTCCTTTGACAAAGGAAAGAAAATCCAAAAATAAAAAAAAATTATATTAAATCACTCGCGCCCATATGTTTAACATACGTAAAACAATATCTTATAAATATTAAATTCATTCGGTAAGTTTAACGGTTCTCTTCTTTTTAATAATTTTCCTTTTTTTTTTTTTTTTTTTTTAAGCTCCTCCCCCTCCCCTATTCCGTCAATATCCGCGTAAAATTTCCCATCACGTTTAACTTATAGGAAAATCAATCAATTTATATTTTTTTCATTTTTTTTTTTTTTTTTTTGTAAAATAGATATAAACGGCTTAAAAGACGACTCCCGACTATCTCTCTATCTCTCTCTATCTCCCCGTCTGCCTGTCTGGCTTACCTTTTTTAACTAAGCTTAATTTTAAAAAAATAAATAAATATCTCAACTTTGTTTTTTACTTATTTATTTATTTATTTTTTTATATGTCTCGCATTTGATTTTCCGCATTTGATTTTCCGCATCGTTTTTTCTTCCTTTTTTCCTTTTTTTCTTATCCTTTGTGTAAAATTAAGGGAATAAAAAATTTTAGGTAGGATACTGCCTTTTACTTCCACTTAATGGGGATATGATAAAAAATTTTTATCTCACCATATTCGCAACTTTCGCATAATTAGAAAAAATTTTAATAATAATAATAATAATAATAATAATAATAATAATAATTTTCCAGAACTTTCCATCATTATTGTGGATAATATACTGTTTGTGTTCAGAATTCATTCCCTCCGCGATTTCAAAACGTTTTTTTTTTTTTTTTTTTAATAAAGTTGTTATTAAGGTAAAAAAAAAAAAGTAATTTGCACCTTTGATTATTATTATTATTATTATTACTATTATTATTATTACTATTATTACTCGTAATAATAATAATAATAATGTTAATGGGGAGATAAAAAAAAAAAAAAAAAAGAAAAAGTTTTTATAATTTTCGTAGTCGTCGTCGTCGTCATCGTTTACGAACTAATTAATTATTATTATTATTATTATTATTATTATTATTATTATTATTATTATTATTATTACTATTATTATTATTACTATTATTATTATTATTATTAGTGTCGAAAGGTGAGATGGCGTTTGAAAAACTATTAAAAAAAAAAAATTTGTTGTTGTTGTTGTTGTTTGGTAAAAGTTTTTTTTTTTTTTTTTTATGTGCGAAACAATCGTGCGATATTAAATTAAATGTAGGACGATGATGGTGTCGGATACACGTGTGGTGATGGTGGTGGTGGTGGTGGTGGTAGTGGTGGTAATAACGTGTCTGCATAAAACAAAAACCAAAAAGTTGCATTGATTTTTTTTTTCATTCCCCTAAAGAATTTTGTGGTTTGGATTATTTTTTTTTTTTTTTTTTTTGCAAAAAAAAAAAATTTCGTGTTTATTTCGATGCAACGAGGGAAAGAGAGAGAGAGAGAGAATCGAGTACCACAAAATAATAAAAAAATTTTTTTTTTTTTTTTATGAAAGTTGGTTGGTATGCCTGATTTTGATATTCGATTATCGTTCTAATATCGAGTTTAGAAAAAATTAAAACCAAGTTTTGAAATTTTTTTTATTGTTGTTGCAAGCATTCCATGATTTTCTTAAAAGGAAAAAAAATTTTTTTTTCATTAGTTTTTCATTCATTTTAACCAAAAATTTTCTTTTTTTTTTCCAGGAGAAGACGTCGATTCTGGAATTCTGTTGTACATTTTGACAAATACGATTTTTTGGATGGAGTAAATGGACTAAATGGTGGATTTTCTGGATGACTTTTTTATGATCACGGTAAATTTTTAATTGTTACCAACTTAACTAAATTTAAAAAAAAAAAAAAGGTTCGTGAAATTTTTTATATGATAATTTTAATCAAAATGGCGGCGATGATCGGTAGTTTTCCTTTTTGTCCATTCGGAAAATTTTTTGGATTAGTTGAAAAAAAAGAGAGAGAGAGAGAGTGATAAGAATTATAAGGAAGAAAGGGAGAGAAAATGGTAAGGATTCTAAGGAAGAAAGAAAGAGACAGTGGTAAGAATTTTAAAAAAAGAGAGAGAGAGTGATGAGGGTTACAAGGAAGAAAGAGAGAGAAACAGAATGATAAGGATAATAAGGGGGAGAGAGAAAATGATAAGAGTTATAAGGAAGAAAGAGAGAAACAGAGAGAGCGGTAAAGATTATAAGGAAAAGAAAGAGAGTCGTAAGGTTTATAAGAAAGAGAAAGAGAGAGAGAGAGAGAGAGTGATAAGGATAATAAGGAAGAGAGAGAGAGAGTAAGAAAAGACAGGCAATATTTTTTAAAATTTTGACGATTTAAATGAAATTTAAATTTTAAAAAATTTTACGGCAAACTACTTTTTTTTTTTTTTGACAAACGTGGGCGCAGACACAGAACGTTTAAAACTTTCAAAAAAACATAATTTTCTCCCACTTTTTTTTTTGTCTAGTTCCCCTTTTTTTTTTAAAATCAAAACTCATTAAATACGAAAGTGTCGATAATGATAATTAAATAAAATTATCAAAGTTGTTAAATATCGAAAGTCGGCGGACTTTTTATTTTGTTAATAAATTTTTTTTTTTCTTCCACGCTAAAATTTATGTCGTGGTTTTAATTTGTCACACACTTATATTAACGCCCCCACTTTAAAAAAAAAAAAAAAAAAAACTTTCGCTTTAAGGGGTTACCACGTTCGTTTTTAATTTTGTTAACATAAAGGGTATTATTAATCCAAAAAAAAAAAAAAAAAAAAAATTGTCGGACATTTTTCTACGTCGTGTCTTTAATTATTTTATCGACACGTTATAAAAGTAAATTTTTTTTTTTTTTTATATACTCTATGACGCCGGTTTGAATCGTTTCGACCTCGAGCCAAACAACAACAACAACAACAAACAATTTTCTCTCTTTTATTATTATTGTTTTTAATTAATAATTATTAATATTTAAAGAAAGTAAAAAATTTTTCATTTTCATTTCGGCCGCCATCTTTTTTTTAAAAAATTTTTCTAGGATTAGGGAACGAAAAAAAAATTTTACTTTTTTTTTTATATAATAAAAATAATAAATTTTATATTTTATAATTTAAAAACAGACAAAAAAAAAAAAAAACCCGAAACGATTCACGTAGTAATAGTTATTATTATCATTATCATTATCATTATAATAATCGTTATTATTTTATTTTCTATTTACACGTTATCTTGAGGAATCGGTATGTAACCGGATGAACTCCTATTAATTAAAATGGGTTTTTTAGGTATTGAATCTTCGACGATTCTCGTTTTGACAATGACTTTTTCCGGGTCAAAAAATGAATTTTTATTCTCTTCGTTATTATCCACGTCTTTTAACGTGTCTTCAATAATGACTTGTGTTAAATTATCCGTCGTGCTTTTCAATACGTTATCTTTTTCAACGTTTTTCTCGTTTGTTATCATGTTTAAATTTTTCGGTGATGAAAAATTTGTATTTTTTTCAAATTTGTTCCTTTGATTTTGTGATTTGACGACGATCGGAGTGATTTCGTTGTTTTTCAAATGATTTTCTTCCAATTCTGAATTATCCTTGTAATCGTTTAAACTGAGCAAAGCTTTTTCCGTATCGTTAGTTTCCTTGTGATTTTCAAAACTTTTCCTTTTACGATTTTTTAATTTTTTAAACGTTATGTAACCGACGAGCGTGGAAAAACTCAATAGTATTAAACCTATTACGATGTACGCTCCCAATTTTCTAGAATCTTGAGAATTTTCCGAATTTCCATCGTCGGATTCTATGGCTCCCGTGTTTGTTATCACGAGTAATGGATCGACTCCGGGTGTTAAATTTTTCTTATGTAAAACGTTACCAGGTGTCGCTTCGATCGTATTATGTGCAAATTTCGTTTCGATGTATGGGATTTCCGTTGCCGTCGGTATTTCCGTTTCCGTTTCCGTTTTCATCGTCGTCGTCGTCGTCGTGATTGGTACGGGTTCTTCTTTTACCGCGAAAGTTGTTTCCGCATGTGGTAAAACTGTTACTTCTAGAGTTTTTTCTGTCGTGCCTTCGCTTGTAGTTGATTCCGTTGTGTCGTTTTCTGTTTGAGGAATGTCTGGAATTGCAAAAACTTGAGAATGATGATCACGACTCACGTAAATTTCCGTAATCGTCGACATCGTCGTCGTCGTTTCTTTATCCGGTTCCGGTGTGTATGTTTCGCTTTCGGTTTTTTCTCCAAATTCTAACGGTAACACCGTCGACGTTTCATTTTCCTTTTCTGTTTTTACTTCGTCTTCTTCGTCCACCTTCGACGGTAACGTCGATGACGTTTCTGTCGTCGTGGTGACATCAACCTCTTTCGTTTCCTCCGTAATTTCTTCTTCCGTTTTATTCATAGATTCGTTTGATTTTACAAAACCATCATCGACGATGGTCGAAGTTTCCAAATCGTGTTTACCTTCTTCTTCTTCTTCTGTCGTCGTTATTATTATTTCAGAATCGTTTATAAGGGGAATATTCGAAGTTTCAATATTATCATTATTATCTCTTACATCACCGATTTCTCCACTTCCTTCGAAATCCGTTACGTTATTATTTGCGGTTTTGTTAACGACTTCACTACTAATCGAATCAATCGTATTGTTCCACTCATTGTTTTTTATTTCGAAATCACCGCCGCCGACACCGCCATTGCCGCCGGCGGACGTATCGTAAAAAACAACACCGCCTTCGTCGTCTCCGCTTCCTTCCACGTCTCTTTTTTCTCTTTTCCTTTCTAATTCTATGTAATTGGGTAAATTAATCGGTAGGAAATATTCTAAAACTAAATTTTTACCATTCGAACCGTATAATTCGTCTTTTTCTTCGATTCCTTCCACGAAAAATGTTAATAAATAAATTATTATTGCAAACGATAGAAACCACCGATTGAAACACTTTAACTTTTCGTTCGCCATATTGTTTTTATTATTATTATTATTATTATTAATATAATTCCTTTCAATTATTATTATTATTATTTTAAAAATATATCAAAGCGACGATGATGTAGATGATGATGACGTAAAAAAAAAAACCTGAAACGAAAATGATAGAAATCAATCAATTATAAATCGGTATTTTTTTTGGGGGGGGTTTAGGTTGGCAGGAGTGAAAACGAAACTGTGATAATTTAATAAATCTGAGTGTAAGTGCATCCAACGTTTAAAAAAAAAAAATATTAATTACCACGTTAAAAACTAATTAACGCGGACACAGTTGCGCCCACTTTTTTTTTTCCTGGAACTAATAAAAAATTATTTATTGTCAATCGAATTGTATCGAAAATGATTTTTTTTTTTTTTTAATAAACGATTGCGCCCTTTTTCCCCGGTTTCTCCATGAATGAGTTCCAGTAGTAGTTCCAGACCGTGACGGTAGGAAAAATTAACCGCGAAAACAAAACAAAAATTTCGAAAGGTTTAAGGTGCGTGTGCGTTTGTTAGGGTTAAAGGTCGATGAAATTTTATCGACCTACGACAAAAAAAATTATTACGTAAATTTTCCAGTTATTAAAATCTATATTTAAACTTTCGTTCGTTTTTTGCGTGTGCGTCAATTTGATTTTTAGTATGTCTAATGCCACGCCTCTCTCTCTCTCTCTCTTCGCACATCATTTTTAATTGAACTTTTACTACGCGAATTTATTTTTAACTTTTTTTTTTTAGGCTTTATAACATACCCCGAAGAAATTTTATTTCTTTTAACGATAGAATATATCGTAACGTAATCGATTAATCGATTAATTTATCGATCGATCGATCAATCGATCGTTGATGATTTAAAAAGGAAAAAATTTTCGCAGTTAAAAACCGATAGAAAAAAAAAAAAATTATTTACATTGACAAATACCATTACGTTCGGGTATTTTCCTCCTCTTTCCCCCCCACTCTCTCTCTCTCTCTCTTACCTATTATTTTATCTATCTGTCTCTCTCCTTCCTTCCTTCCTTTTCCCCTCACCCGTAATAATTTTATGTTTATGATTGAATTATTCCTATATCGTCTCGGTGTGTGTGTGTGTTTGTAATAGTCTCACTCTTAATGACAATTCAAAGAATCGAATCGTTTTTTATGTCATTCGATTTGTAATTCGATATTCGAGTGTCGAATTTTGTCTGCGGTCGCACAATCGAAATTATATATATATATATAAACATTACGTACATATATATTTATAAATTTTTTTTTTTTTTTATTCGATTATGAATTTTTCTTTTCTTTTCTTTTTTTTTTTTTTTTTAAATTTCGCCGCCATTTTTAA